TGAGGTTAGATACTTTCCATATGCAAGAAAAAAAAAGCTCATTATTTAGAATGGACAGAGAGAGAGAGAGAGAGAGAGAGAGAGAGAGAGAGAGAGAGAGAGAGGAGAGAGAGATATCTCAGGAATAATAAGGTCTTTTCTGAAAAGCAGCACTACTACTCAAATATCAGAGGTTTCTTTTATCTGAGGATATCAACTACTTCTTTTTAAAAAAGCTTCTCTCATGCTGAGATAATTGGAAAGATTTATACTTGTATAGTTGATCTTCCATATCTACAAGTTTGCATCCATGGGTTCAACCGACGATGGATCAAATATAATCAAAAGAAAAAAATGCATCTATATTGAATGTGTACAGAAGGCTTTTCCTTGTCATTATTCCCTAAGCAATATAGAATAACAATTATTTGCATAGCATTTACATTAGGTGTTACAAGTCATTTAGAGGTGGTTTAAATTATATGGAAGGGGCTGAGCACTTATAGCTCAGTGGCAGAGCACTTGCCTAGCATGTATAAGGCACTGGGTTTGATCCTCAGCACCACATAAAAATAATTAAACAAAACAAAGGTATTATGTCCATTTACAACTAAAGCAATTTTAAAAAATAAAGTATGTGGAAGGATGTACATAAGTTTATGTGCAAATACTAAGCCATTTTATAGAAAGGACTTGGGCACCTGTGCATTTTGCTATCTGCAGAGGGTCCTGGACTCAATCTCCTATGAAAATTGAGGGCCAACTGTAAAGCAGAGAGAATATATTTTCACATTTCTGCAACCAGTAGCCACACCAGAAGGAAGACCAGATTCTGCTCAGTCTTTGCCGAGGGTATCCTGCACCCTTTTTCTTTGCTCCATAACTAATTCTGATGCAAGAAAGTCCCATCTGTCTTTGATTGTTGACTCTGCTACTGGATTCCTAGCAAGTAGCTTTTCTAAACTTGAGCAATGATGCTCATTCCTTGTGAAGATGCTTTTCCATAAACCATAATTTGTAGAAGGGCAACAAATTATTGCATTCTTACCAACAGCTATGAAATGCAATTAGATTTTAGTCTTTGAGGCACTTTCAGATTGGGTCAGCTGGCTGTACCTGCATCAAAGAGAGCCCTTGGTCAGGTCCCAGGTGATAGACAGTGATGGTGTCACTTGCAGCCTCAGTTAAGGATTAAATCTAAAAAGAAATCGAGGCAGCTGCTTGTACTTATCCAGCATTTAGACTGGCTCTTTAACTCAGGGCCAATGGAAATAGCAGTCATTGAGCCTAACATTTACTAAATGCTTACCAGGTATTGGGCTCTATGCTGCACATACATGATCTTATTTAATCCTGCAATAACAACACGAGGTAGGTTCTGTACTTTTATCTTTGGGAAGACTAAGGCCCAGAGATGTTAAGTAACTTGCCCATTATCTCATAGTTAGTAAGCATTGGAACCCAGGTTCATTCATCAGGACCAGCTACTTAATTTATGGGGTCCAGTGCAAAATGAAAATACATTCCCTTGTTAAAAGGAACGTCAAGCTGGCTACAGGAGAGCATTAAACCAAGCATGCAGGCCTTCTCAGAGTGAGGCCTGGTGTGATTACAGTTTGCACATCCATCAGGCAGACTGCCTACACACTCTTAACCAAACAGCGGGTGCTGAACACTACATAGCTTGGTAAAGATTTAACTTTGGTGTGTAAATAGCAAATGGAAGCTTCTATGTGTGTTGTGTGTCTTGGTTATGAATCCTCTTCAAACACCCGCTCTCTTCACAAAAGACTTGGGACTATCTTCTAGCTCATGGTGACAGAGCTGAGGCCCCCCTGGTCCTGCTCATTGGTAACAGCTTCTTTGGGTGTGTCCCTGCTGGATGGTGTCTTTTGCTAAAAATCACCAAAAGGCATTTGATGGAGGAACTTCGTGGACACCTTGTGCTTTACTTAAATCCAGTTCTAGTGTTCTGGGCTTGTTCTATGAACAATTGCATGTCTAGCAGCTGTCACCCCACTTATTTCTCAGCCTTGATTGCCTCTAGTTGTCCAAGACACACCCATACCTCAGATCCAGCCATAGGCTCACCTGAATCATTGAGTCAGCTCAGCTCAAGGTACAGACATTTTGTCCCTTGTCCTGGTGCTATGGGAGAACAGCGGGGTTGCCAGAAGGAAAATAGGATCAACCATCTGTTTTTCCCTGGGGCTGCTTAGTTTTTCTGTATTGCTTAGGAGCGATCCCTTCCCACATAAAACCACAGGGTCAGATGATAACTGCGAACCCTTACTGAGTGCTTGCTTTCTACTATGTATTTAATCTTCAGGTGTAATTCATGCTTCACATGTAACTCATTTAATGTTTAAAGGCTTACAGGTAGGTGATTTAATAGTTCCATCTTTCAGAGGAAGGCAGTGAGGCAGGGAGATCAAATAACTTGCCCAGATCTAAGGTCAGTAAATGGAAAAGTCAGAGCAGGAACCCATGCCATCTCTAGTTCTAGAGCCCCAATGTCATGTTCAAACCTTACTTCAGAATTTCACCAAGCATTCTGGAAGGATGGGCAGGGCAGCTTAGCAGGCCTGGTACAGCTAGAGCCCCAAATCCAGGAATGGGGACTTGTCATTGCCTCTGAGAAAAGCTCCAAAGTGCAAATTCTAGAATTTTCCCAGAGTGACAGTGTGGAGGGTAGAACAGTTCCTCCATATAGATCACCAGAGGCATGGAATACAGATGCACACAGGCCTGTGCCTGAGATGTAGCTCTGCTCAAGAGTGGAGATCACATTCTGTCCTTTATGGAGCAAGTCTCCAAAGAAAGAGGCTGTAAAATTACGAGTACGCGTGTCTAAGAATTTCCTTTAATTTTGTTATAGTGTTCTAGCCTGAAAACACTAGCAATTGTAATAATAATAATGATATATATATATATATATTTGCATGGGCATAGTACTTTAAAGTTTGCTGATTTTTCCCTGCATTAAAAAAAAAAAAATCTCTCCACCACTAGGAGAATTTGAGTGGGTCTAAGGACAACCTGATAGCATATGATCAAATAAGTCTCCATCTCTTCACTTCTATCTGAGGCTCCTTGGGCAACACTGATGTGCCCTGAGCACAGTCCTTTACCCAGGAGGTGGAGAAGGGGTCGTCTCTGAATGCTGGAGGAAGCACATAGCTCTTGTGCCTCATATGCCAATTCATTTGCAGCAGGTTCAAAGCTTCAATTTGCCTGCATCTACAATATGTTTCTTTCTGTAACACCAGACTGAAAGGAAATCTATTTTCCCTAAGATTGGGCAATTGTGAGACAGCCAAGCTAGAGTCTTCAATGTCTCCTTAAGTTTCTAGAATGTTTCCAAGGGTCATCATGAACCCAGTACAAAGTGACATGGTAGAAGCACAATGTTTTTTCCTTTCCAACAGGGCTCGATTAATGTAATTCAGAGTATTCTAGAGAAGAGTGCTTGGCAAAATTATTTTTCCTAAATTCCTGAAAACACTTGAGAAAAGTTACCAACCCCCCCCCTTTTTTTTTTGCCTGGTTAAATCAAAACGGTGGTGAAAAAAAGAAACATAAGATTAGAAAGTCTTGCTTGAACACTCATTTAAGAAATGGAAATTTAAATAATTTGTGATAAGAGGTTTGAGTGATTCTGGACAGAAAATTGAGAAGGAAAATAGCCGAGTGACTCATCTGCAAAGGGCAAAGTCATCAGCAAGCCCTCTGGGTCTGCAGGAGAATGACTGATAGACAGTCCTCAGCATCATTCTGTGCTATGCTTCGCTTCATTCCCAGTGTGTTCGTGACTGTGGACCCAATAACTGACACATGGCTTAGATTCAGAAACAGGCCCCACAGGAGCTACCCAAATTTGGAAGAGTGGTTCAGGGACCAGGCTCGTTAGCATAAGATTGTGATGCTGGGGCCTGGGGTTGTGGCTCTGTGGTAGAGTGCTCATCACCTAGCATGCCCAAGGCCCTGGGTTTGATCCTCAGCACCACATAAATGTAAAACAAAGATGTAAAAACTTAAGAATAAATATTTTTAAAAAAATTGTGATGCTAACTGGCATGAAAATAAACAACAAATAATTGAGGCTCTTGTCCTATGTAAATTGTGCTAACCCTATAAGCTTTTTTCTCCCAGTAAAACTTTTTTTTTAAGCCCCATTCATATGGAATGGGCCCAGGATACAGTTTAGCTACTTATGTAAATGCAAAACTCTTAAGCATGCAGATATTGGTGTTTTCAAAGCATTTTTCAAAATTCACATTCATAGAAGGATTCGCTTGTATTCAGACCTCCACTTTACCAGCAACCATTGGTTGAGTACTGCTTGCCCTTGGTGCAAGAAGCGGTGGGTGGAGAGGCAGAACTCAGAGATGGTGTGGAGTTCCCAGTAAAGAGAAAAAACAGAGCCAGGCACAGCTAGACTTCCCCGTCAATGGGGGAAAGAGGCACAGAATTCTTTGTTTCTGTTTACTGTTGCCCGGCTTCCCAGGGTAGGACTGCAGAAATCATAGGTCCTATCTGAGTTTGAACTAGACTAGATTTCCTCTCCAATGGTCAGCACCCATTACTCTACAAAAGCAGATGTTGAAGACAGCCACAGTCCGTTCAGGTGAAGAAGATGCCCACTAGATAGTACTGTGCAGAAGAAGCCCTGTCTAATCTAAACAGGCAATGGTGAAACCTTTCCAGATGTTCAGTTTACCCAAACCAATCATGTCCATGATGTTTGGTGTTTCTGAAGAGCAACATGCACTCTCAGAAATGCAATTCTGGGTGGACACAAATAATTTCTTAAGATTTATGAAAACTTAAAACTATTTAAACTTGGAACAGTGTTTCGTAATATGGCCTTCAAAATGGAATTCTATTCCCTAAGACTCATGAAGTGGGGGAGATGAACAAATCTTTAAAAAAAAAAAAAAGTCTGTGGATTCTTTGGTCAATAGTCTACTTTCTCTTCCATTTCACCTGTCTTCCTCTCTCTTTCTGATATTTCTCACCAGGGTATGGGAATATTGCTCCAAGCACTGAAGGAGGCAAAATCTTTTGTATTTTATATGCCATCTTTGGGATTCCACTCTTTGGTTTCTTATTGGCTGGAATTGGAGACCAACTTGGAACCATCTTTGGGAAAAGCATTGCAAGAGTGGAGAAGGTCTTTCGAGTGAGTACTGCATCTATTTAACTTTAACCTCTGCCATCTGGTTTGGCTTCACTCCAGTAGGATTCAGAAGGCCTTATCAGGGGCACCATTCATTTTAAATGAAATAGTGTGTAACGTGAAGATTGGGTTTTCCATTTTGACCAATGGCAATCATAGGTAGCTGGGCCTAAATGCCCTGTTGTTTGAATAGCTTCCTACTATAGAGAGGTATTTCAGGGATGAAGAGACAAGAGGGTCAGTTATAAATTTGCCAACGCGGATTTTATGAAGAGGTGAGGCATACTCAGTGTCTTAGTCTGTTTATGATGCTATAACAAAATTCCTGAGACAGGGTGGATTGTAGAGAAGGGAATTTATTTGTCATAGTTCGGAGGCTTGGAGTCTGAGATTAAGGTGCTGGCAGGTTTGGTTGTCTGGTGAGGGGCCTGTTCTCACCTTTCCAGGTGGCGCGGCTTCTAGTGGCATCCTCTGGAAGAGAAGATTGTTGAGTCCTTATAAAGGCGAGGGGATGGAAGGTGAGAAGGATGTAACACGGCCTGAGACCTCTTGTATAAGGGCCTTATTCTGATTCATGAGGTGGAGCCCTCAGAAGCTAATCACCTGTTAAAGGCCTCACCTCTTAGTGCTAGCATAGGGACCATTAAGTTTCAACACCTGAATCTTGGAGGAGACTCATTCAAACCGTAGCATTTAGCTCTCCTTAAAGATGGAAGATGGTTTCCTTAGTGTTTTTTTTCCATGAAGCAGAGAATTGTAAATCCATCCACTTTGCCACGGGAGCTCCTCCACTCCTTTGTATTCCTGTGCACAGTGTCTCTAGGCGGATCCTGATTTCTTTGAGACCAGCCTTCTCTGAACTCTGTTCTGTGCCTCTCTCCTCGGGGCTCCTCCCTGTTCTGCCTGCCTCTGCTGAGTGTTCCCTCAGTAATGACACATGGAGCCTACTTCATGCTAAGGGGTAAAGGATGTTATTGCCTGAGTGAGTTTTTTTTTTTTCCCCTCTTGGAAATATTTACCTTTACACGACAGACAGAAATCTCAAGCTATGGAATTTGTTTACTAAAGGTGATGTGCCTAGCACCAGTGACAGGCATGTGGGGTGGACATGATTGGACTGAGGTTCCCAACACCCTTAGTTGTCACCTGTTCATATGCTTTCCTGAGATTCTTGTTTAACATAGGCTTAAGGTCATTTCTGCTGTCTTGTTCAGTGTTGGCCTGATTCAAATATTCTAGATCTTCATCAGGAAGTTCTTTCTTATGATGACTTATTATTATTATTATTATTATTATTATTATTTCATTAATTGGCAGTACTGCGCATTGAACCCAGGGCACTATATTACTGAGCTGCATCCCAGCTTTTTTAAATTTTAAATTTGAGATGGGGTTCTTGCTAAATTTCTGAGGCTGACCTTGAACTTGTGATCCTCCTGCCTCAGCCTCCCAAGTCACCAGGATTAAAGGTGTGAGCCACTGGCAGATGACTTAATTTTTAAAAATAACATTTTTTGGGGGGTTTATTTTTATTATTAAATTGATTCTGTTTAGTTATATATGACAGCAGAATTCATTTTGATATAATAATTATACAAGAATGGAATATATCTGATTCTAGTTAGAGTCCCATTCTTATGGATGTACATGGAAAACTATATCAGATTCATTCCATTGTCTTTCCTTTGCTTGTTTCCCTTTCTTCCCTTCATTCCCCATTGTCTAATCTACTGTACTTCTACTCTTCCCTTCAATGCCCCCGACTTTATGGTGAGTTAGTTTCCATCTATTAGAGAAAACATTCAAACTTTTTTTTCTTGGCGGGGGGACTGATTTACTTTCCTTAGCATGATAGTCTCCAGATCCAACCATTTATTGGCAAATGTTATTCTTCTTAGTGGCTAAGTAATATTCCATTGTGTATATATACCACATTTTCTTTATCCATTCATCTGTTGAAGGGCATCTAGGTTGGTTCCATAGCTTAGCTATTGTGAATTGAGCTGCTATGAATATTGATGTGGCCGCATTGCTTTAGTATGCTGATTTAAAGTCCTTTGGATATAGACTGAGGAGTGGGATAACTGGGTCAAATAGTGGTTCCAGTCCTATTTTTCTGAGGAATCTCCATACTGCTTTCCAGAGCGATTTACCAATTTGCAGTCCTGCTAGCCACCTTTCCCCCACATCCTTGCCAACATTTATTGTTACTTGTATTCTTGATAATTGCCACTCTGACTGGAGTAAGATGGGATCTCAGTGTAGTTTGAGTTTGCATTTCTCTACTTGCTACAGATGTTGAACATGTTATCATACGATTGTTGACCATTTTAGAATCTGGCAATGATGGGTGAAGACAGTAGATGGCGAGCCCTACAGCTGTGCTCCCCTCACCCCCACAGGATAAGAACTCTCAAATTTTGACCTTACGCCTGTCTCTGAAACCATGATTTATACTTTTCTTTAGCAGAAGGCAGGAAAGCTTCTGGCCAGCCGTTCGAGAGCGTGTTATGTTTTAGGAGAGGGAGAAGACTGAGTGAGGCACTGTAGCTGGTCTGGGGTTGCATTGATAAGCCCCGTGATTCTGGGAAAGTTGCCTCAGTTTACCCACTGGCTAAAGGGAACAGAATTCAAATCTGCTTTAGAAGGTTTTGGTGATGATTAAATGAAATAATATGAGGGAAAGAGCTTGGCACCGGGCCAGACATGCTGCTTGCTCTGTGAGAAGGGCTTGTTGGCAGGCTAGCCACTGGCTCAGGTTTTATCTGCATAGCTCTCTGTGTGTGTGTGAGTTTTTCTGGAATGTCCCACCGTCTTTGCTGCCCGGGTGCCTGCTGCCCAGCAACCTCATTAGAACAAGCACCTGGGCTCCTCGCTGGTCACCATGGAAACCACCACCCTTGCCTTCTCTGCCTCTCAGATGTTTAGGGCTCCCTGAGCCAAGGCGGCCCTCTCTCCAAGAGCCATTTTGAACTTCTCAGAGTGGCCTCTTAGCCATGGTCGCATGACCCTTTGAGTTAGGGAAAAAAAGAAAAAAACAAAAAGCAAAAAAATGAATCCAGCCGATTGAACACTCAGAGGAGCGGGATTCCCTCGGAGCCATGGCTGACCTGGTGGGCTTATTTTTATGTAGCTTCCTGAGCTCTCCGTTTCCTTAGTTGTAGAAGAAAGGGGTGGACTACATGCTCTTCCAATCTCCCTTGAGCAAATAAAATAAAATGAAGAGATTTAGTTTCTTATTCTCAATGAGAGAAGAGGTTTCAGTCATTTGAATCCATCTGCTACCAGACTGGGGGACTGAGTTTTCCCTGATGCATTTCAGGCGACAAGCAGAGTGTGCTGCGGAACACACACGGAGCGCGTCCTTCCCCTTCGAGGAACGATCTGGATGGGTCCTTCAGTGGACTTGGGGGCAGAGCCATTCCATTTTTATGCTCCTGGCCCCACTCAGGTCCACGCAGTGCGACAGGAGATGGGACGTCTTGCAGGAAGGCGAGTCAGACGTCTGCTCTTGAATGGGCAGCACGCGACGGAGGTCCTGACCAATGTCGGAGGGGGCTGTTGGCAGGGCTGACCCAATCCCAGGAGGGCTGCACACTTGCCGAACACACAGTGCTTCCCTTGTTGTGCGTGAGGTTGTGGCAGAAAATCGGAAAGCTCTTGGCCATTCCCGTAAGCTACATTTCAAAGGCCAGTTGCTTAGGTAGGTGGTTGGGCAAGGAAACTGTACAAACCAGCAAAACTTGGAGCTGGGAATTTCCAGTTCCCATGGGGAAGGATTGTTTACAAAAAAAAAAAAAAAGAAATCTGCATGATGATTATTAGGTCTCTTTCTTTGCCTGCTAGGTTTTCTCTCAGCTCTTGGGAGGAGAGGATTTTTGTGTGTGTGTGTGTGGAGAAAATGTATACTATAAACACAACCTTCCAAGTATCTGTGTTCCGAGGTGATTCTGGTTTAGGTTTTTTTTTAACATAATCCAGGTCCGAGCCTCATTTTGAAGAGTAGCGGAGGGGTACTGCATGACTTAGGAAATGCTTTTGGCTGAAGAATAATGCCTGAATGTTGTTGTTGTTTTTTTTTTAAATGGAGTGAATAAATAAAAACTCTTTCTTCTCCCCTGGAGTTGAGAACTGAGAAATAGAGGAGTCAGACAGAGATAAAAATGTCAGCCTTTCAGCTGACCAGCTGACTAGCTGACCAGAGAATACAACTTTGTCTCTATTGCCAAAGGACTTACTAGTTTTCTCTTGCTGTGTCACAAATGACCACAGACCTAGAAGCTTCACATTTCCATTGGTTGTGTCTCACCTTTGTAGGTCGGTGGTCCTGGTGGGCTTGGATGGTAGGTGTGCTCAACATATCGCAGGACCCAAATCAAGGTGTGAGCCAGACTGGGCTCTCGATCCCGGGAAGAATCTGCTTCCAGGCTCATGCAGGTTTTGGAAAAAAAAAAAAATAGCCTCTATGGTTGTAGAGATGAGATGCAAAATCCTCCTCCTGCTTTGACTCTGTCTGACTCCTCTCAGGCTGAGTTGGAGGAAGTTCTCTGTTCTTAAAGGCTCAGGTGATCACATCAGGCCTGGGAGGATAATCTCCCTGCCTTGGGGTCAACTGTACCACATCTTATCATGCATTCGTGGGGGGGTGGGGTGGTGATATCTCATCATATCACAGGTTCTGGGGATTAGGGTGGTTTGTCCTGGGGGGGGACGTTTTTGACATTCCCCCTCTCACACACTGAGTCATATGGTCATAGGAGCACAGACCTCCTTCACAAGCCAGCTCTTCCTCTAATCTTGCTACATCGTGGAGAGAAAAGCAGAATGCACTGCTTTGCAGGAAGATGGTCCCAGATCTGAAGGTGCTCAGCTTCTGAGTCCTCCAGGTGCTCAGCTTGTAAGTCACCTGTGTGGTTGAACAGTGGGGACAGAGGCTCAGAGTGTTAAACTCGCTGAAGTCCCTCCATGTGGGGCAAGAAGCCGGAACAATGCACATGCCTTCC